AATATGTGACACATTGTGACACACTTACACAGTGGAGCTTTATTTAGCTGCTAAAAACAATGGCATCATAATCTTTGCAGGCAAATGGATGTACTAGAAAAAATATCACCCTGAGTGAAGTAACCTAGATCCAGAAAGACAAACATGGTATGTACTCAATAAGAGTATGTTAGCTTACAGCAAAGGATTATCATGCTACAAATCACATACCAAGAGAGGCTAAGTAATAAGGGTTCAAGGGTTGGGGAGGGTCACAGGGATCTCCCTGTGCAATGGAAAGAGAATATATTTCATGGGTGGACTGGGGATATGAGGGGATGGGTACCAGAGAGATTAGGTAGGGCGTGGAGTACTGGAAGAGATGACTGGAATTGTGGGGCATTTTGGGGGCAAGGAAACTCCCAGGAGTCCACAAGGGTGAGCCTGGTAAAGATTCCCAGTAATGGGGGATGCCCTCTGCCCTTGCACCACCCCCAAACAAAACCAAACCAAATTTAAAAGAAAAGCCAAAAATCAAACTAAACAAAGAAACCGAACTAAACCAAACAACAAACAAATGAAAAAAGAGAGTCTGGTTTTGTGAGGAAGCTGTAGTGTGGTCGATTGAGTTACACAGTTAATTCTTTAGTCCATTCATCTTTACTTGCAAGTTTTCATTGCCAAGAGTCATTGGTCTGGCTCCAGCCCTCTGGCTCCTGCTATGCCACCAATAATGGGCTTTTACTGGGACTCCTCTTGGATTCCAGTTGTTACTGTGTGTTGTGGAGATTGCTGGTTTGGATCTGTAGGTTTGTCTCTTTCACATGTGCCAACAGTTCATAGATTGGGTGGATGCTGAGGTGGGCCAATTCATAACCCTGGTTCTGGGCCTAGGTGATAGCTGGGTTGGTCATCTCGCCAGTATTCCTTGATGGTCACTACCTGGTGAGTTCTAGTACTTGCCACAGCTAACTCACCCAGTTATGAACAGCCATGTGGGGTATCTTCAAGAACAAATGTTCTTTACCATTGAGCAATCTCTCCAGCCTCCTTTAAAAAATTGACATGTTTAAGTAATCCCATTCATGTTATTCACTGTATTGAATTTTGTAAGTAAATCTATGTTCATAGTTATAAGATTGTTCTTTTACTTAAAATGAATATTTAATGAATAGACTTTGCCTCCCAAATTATACTGTTAATTTAGTGCACATTTTAGAGTTGCTTGTTGTTTATGGATTAGTATTTACTTATAGTCAGAGTTTAATTATAGTGTGAATTATTTTATTTAAATAGCATAGCAATGCTACAATAATTCTATTTCTGTTTCCCTCTTTTCCTTAACATCATAATATGAATTTCAAAAATTTTCAGTGTTATGGGCACGAACAAATGGTTCTCTAGAGAAAATGTCCCTGAGCAACTAGCTGCTTCTCAGCTATATGTTTGCAGTGTTTCTTGGTCATTGGCCTCTTGAGATATGTGTTAACTAGTTTCATGTTTTCCTATGGCAGGAAATTATTAGACTCTTTATGTTAGGGAAGCATAGGATATTTGAGTCTGTAAAGATGCTGTTCTTTTCATGCAGGTAAAAATGGATGGTTGTAAAAATCTTTGAATATAAAAGAGTGCTTTTTATTTATGAACTGCTGTTGGAATTGCTATAAATATGATCATATTAAAGTTCATGAGGGAGCCAAACTAGAGCAGATAGAATCCAAGCAAAGATGTTGTGCACCATAGGAGAATCATTCTGAAAATAGTTAATATCATATTGGGAAAGAATAACAGACTTCTTGAGATAAAACCATTTGTATCCAGTGAACTCTGAAAACATTCTAAATAACAACTTTATGTTTTACATTAATCATAGGTTATAGCTAATTATTTTGTTCTCTGGTGATTATATAAATAATCTTAACTTCTACACCTGATAAATAAGCAAAAAATAATGATACATAAAAAATAAAGGTCACAAAATTTATATATTTTTTATTTATTAGCTTTTAAAAATGATTGGTACAAACTGGTTGTCATAGAATAGAATCGAATTTCCTAGGAACTTGTCAGGTGTATTCAATGGAAACATCTTAGCATCGGAGCAGAAATAAAATTTGACACAGAAATCAAAAGAACAAACACTGAAAAAGTATGTTTTAATGTAATTTCACTTTGAAATGAGATAATGTAATTTCACTTTGAAATGAGATATGGACAATTTCACAGCCATATATAAATCTGCCAGGATCTGGAATTATGTTTCTTGTTTTATTCATAATTATTATCTATATGAATTTTAATTTTGAATTGTTAGTAGGTTAAGGAAGAGTTGAAGTTTTTGACAAATCAGTATTTTTCTAGTTATGATAGAAAATGAGAAAAAGAATTGAAGCAATAAAGAAAGTATTGTTAAAAGGATTGCATTTCTTAAAGCTTTTGGGCAATTTTCTTTTATGCAAATACCTACATTATTTAAGTAATATGCAATTATTTGTATTTACCATGATAAGTAAAAATAAAGCTTATTTAAAATTAATAGGGAGAGACTCTGGTTTTGCTTATGTTTAAAGAAGGTTTGTGACCATTTGGAAGCTAAAAATGCAAAATGTTTGAGCTAGGAACATAATGAATTTGCAGGAGGGAAATGAAGAGGATGGGTGAATGCTCACATGACCACTAGCAAACCTTGTCAGTGTATTTCCATTTAATTCAAAACTTTACTTGGAAATAATCAAAGTTTTGCCCTTCATGATGATTAAATGTCTGGTAATCTGTTTAGGAAGATTACTGAAATTGGTGTGAATCAAGGAAAACAACCCTATAACACAAGGAAAAGGCTTAGTAACATTGTACCATGGCATCTGCATCTAGAAACCTTTTAAAGAATTTTCCTCTTAATTGTATATTAGAATATGACTTTTGCTTAGTGGTTTCAAATATTTATGCCAAACATTATCAGTTTCTATATTACTGGATATTTGAATGTTCTAGACTTACATCTTATTTTAACTTCAAACTCATTTTAAAAAATCCTAATCCTTGTTTAGATGATGGGGATTGGCAATGTGAAAGACTGATCAATTCTCAACTGACAACTACTCAGCCAGAAATAGTTCCAAGAACTTTAGCACTTGAGAAATACTTGCGGATGAAATATAGATTTTTATTTCTGAAGATGTGGACCAAAAGCATTGCAAATCACATTTCATGAATTATTTTTCCTTAGAATAAATGTAATACTTTTCCTTTTGTCATGATGGTATACATTTTAAACTATATAGCTTTTTTAAAATTTTATTTTCTTCATCTTTCCCCAAACTCCTCCAATTTTTCATCTCATATATTCTGTCACTTCTGGACTCTGCCCAGTTTCTTTACTTGTACTCTTTAGTTTTACATTCAGTTATATTTTCATGTGGCATTTAATAATCCAAGTGCATCTTCTTCTGTTCTTCAGCAAAAACTTATTTGTTCCTATTTTATATTTGTGACAATGCTGTGATTTGAAATTTTCAGATAAGAGCAAATTTTCAGTGCCTATCTTGATGCAGTTGGTATCAAGTTTATGTGTTATTATTGAAAAAAATCAGTAATAGGCATTACTGTTATCATATGAAACAGTGTTCTATGAGTATAAATATATTAAATTTATAATTGAAAGTTTATATTTTACCACCCAAACAATGTGAATAGTATAACATACCATTGGAAATACATTTTGAAGTATGTATATTTGATTTGTAGCCTTGATGTCCTATTTTTTACTGATACTTGTTTTTTATTCATTAGATTTTCAAATGTGCTGGACGTTATAAAAGAAATATTAATGCTATTTAATATTTAGTGTTAAAAATACACAGTGAATATATTACTATATTTTATTGTTTAACACTAAATCTTAAGAGAAAATTAAACTTCTTTATGTGGATTTGACAGGTAATCTGAGGCTCAAGGTTCAGTCATCTTGGTAATTTGGACCCAATGACCATATTCTGTTTATCTGTCACACTGCTTGATCAGACACAATTAGATCTGCAAAATAGTGTGATAAACTCTTGTATTAAGGGTTGAACAAAATACTTGGTATGACATCATGGTTCTTATCAGACTTTTGAACTTGCAGACTATAGACTGAATAATCCAGGGCAGTGATGATCATCCTCTAGTTTTGTTTATTATTTTCTATCAATTGCCAATAGCTCCTCATCTAGGCATGGAACTTCATGACCACTTCTTTGTTCTATGTTGAAGTTTTGTATGGCTTAAGCCTTTGCAGGTCTTGTGGATGCTGTCACAACCCTTGTGAATTGCATATGTGGAAATGCCCTTCTATCAGGAAATCACAGTTTTCTTGCTCTTTCTAGATTTTAAAACTGTTCTGCCTCCTTCTTCTGCAGTAATTCATGAGCCTTAGGAGGAAAGGTATGCTACAGACATCTTTCTTAAGGCTAAGCATTCTCAAATCTCTCCTCGTTATCTTGGTCAGTTGTCAATCTCTTTGTTAATTGTCATTTACTATAAAACTCAATTTCTCTGATGAGGGTTGAGAGATGCATTAATCTATGAGTACTACAATAGGTCTTTAGGAGTCTGTATAATGCTATGTTAGTTTAACAGAGTAATTGTAGTAAGTTATCCTCTCAAACTTGTGACTTTTTTAGTCACTAGTTCTCATCCCTGTTTCAACTTGGAAAAGTCAGCATAATATTCACATGGAAACTTCACCCTTGTAAGTAAGCTTTTATAGTGCTAGCAGGTGATATGCATAACACTAGAGGAGAAAAGTAGTCATCAAACTTGTTATATTTAGACTCTTTGTTAATACGACGTTCAAGAAGTATGAAGTGATGTTTCAGTGCGATTGAAATGTGCACTTCTCTATTAAATAGTCATGTTCAGATATCTGTTGTTCTTTAGGTTGATCATGACCTTAAAGTACAAATAAAGTTTCACACGTTTCAGATTTGTCATTTTAGTCTATTAATATAATTATCCTAATTCCCCTTTAGGTAGCACTGACAACAAAGTCAATGGAAAGAGTGAATCATTCTGTGTCATCAGAGTTTGTGTTCCTTGGACTCACCAACTCCTGGGATATCCAACTGCTGCTTCTTGTGTTCTCCTCAGTGTTGTATATGGCAAGCATGATGGGAAACTGTCTCATAATTTTCACAGTGGCTTCTGACCATCACTTACATTCCCCTATGTACTTTCTTCTGTCCATCCTCTCCTTCACTGATGTGGTTATTTCTTCTGTCACTGCACCAAAGATGATGTATGACTTATTCAAAAAACACAAAATCATCTCCTTTAGTGGTTGTGTAATTCAAATCTTCTTCATTCATGCCATTGGTGGTGTGGAGATGGTGCTGCTCATGGCTATGGCCTTTGACAGATATGTGGCCATATGTAAGCCTCTCCATTATCTGACCATAATGAGCCTCAAGAAGTGTATCTTCTTCTTAATTACTGCCTTAGTAGTTGGCCTTATGCACTCTGTTATGCAACTGGCTTTCATAGTAAATTTACCTCTCTGTGGCCCTAACATATTGGACAACTTCTTTTGTGACCTTCCTCAATTCATCAAACTTGCTTGTATAGATACATACAGATTGGAATTACTGGTCTCAATCAATAGTGGATTTATGTCTATAGGTTCCTTCATCATACTGCTCATTTCCTATATTGTCATTATATTTAGTGTTCTGAAACACTCTTCAAGTGGTTCCTACAAGGCTCTGTCTACCCTTTTAGCTCATGTGACTGTGGTGGTATTATTCTTTGGTCCTGCCATATTTTTCTATACATGGCCTTCTTCCTCTACACATTTGGATAAGTTTTTGGCCCTATTTGATGTAGTTGTTACTCCTTTTTTGAACCCCATGATCTACACATTGAGAAATCAAGAAATGAAGATAGCAATTAGGAGAATATCCAGCCAGCTAATGGGTTATAGAAAAAGCTCCTGAATAACTACATTGTAATAGCCTTCTTTGAGCATGGAATTTCATTATTAACCAACCGCTCAGGAAAAGTTTTCATTGCATATTTTGATGTGTTTATTTATACATATATAAATACACACACATACATACATACATGCCATTTTATCTAATGTTTAGAAGGAAAGGGCAAATTTTTACAAATGTCACCACAAAATTACATATATTGATAGTGCAATGATTTTATTAATTCGGATGCTTAAATCTTTATTTTTTCTCTCCATTGAAACTTTTCTTTTAATTTATTTTATTTTATATGACCAAATTCATTTAAATGAAAACAAACATTGATAGACAATATTTGGGAATTTGGGCGTCGTTCTTTCCAAACTACTTCCTGCTGGTAAGGGGTGCTTTCATGGCGGAATTCTAAGAAGATGCAGAAACCCTGGCTGTAGTCTGCAAGATTGCTTTGTCCAGCTGTTTTGAATGTAGGATCACCTGGTACTCTGTCTCAGGTGGTCTGGCTTGCTCAAACCACATTAGTCTGGAAGGAATCCACACTTTTCATTATCTGTGGAAACAAAAATAGAAATCCTTTTCCCCAGTAACTTGTCCTTGAACTTAAATTTTGGAGTCAAAGCACTTTTTAAATTTAATTTATTGTTTTACATGTTGATCCCATTTTCATCTCCCTTCCTCCCTCCCACCGTCTTTCCCTCCTTCCCACCCTCCCTCTCTCCCTTCATCCCTCCCTCACTTCCTCCTTACCTCCCTCTTTCCATCCTTCCCTCCCTTTTACCCTCTCTGCCCTCTTACATGCACTCTAACCACCCTCCCCTCCCATCCTGCCACCCCAATTCCATATATAGCGGAATGCCATCCAGTTGGGGTCATGTAGATCTGACAGGTCATGTGAAGTAGGGACTAGGGCTTCTCTCCTGTCTCTAGATTAAGGCAGTTATCCCTCCATGGGGGATGTGTTCACATGGTCTTTTTGTGCACGAGGGATACATCCTGGCTCTTATGTCTGAGGTCCCTTAGACTGCCCAGTCCTTCTGGATGAGACCCATATTCAGGGGGGCCTGAGTCAGTCCCATGCTGGCTTCCCAGCTATCAGTTTGGTGGCCTGTTAGCTCCTCCTTGTTCAGGTAAGCTGTCTCTATGTGTTATTGCTGCCTGTTCTTGTCCTCTCCATCTGCATCTGGGTTCTACTTCGACTCAAGTATACCTCCTACTTTCTCTTCTAAGAGGTTCAATGTGGCTGGATTGATGTTGAGGTCTTTGATCCATTTGGACTTGAGTTTTGTGCATGGTGACAGTCATGGGTCTATCTGCAGTCTTCTACACACCCTCATCCAATTGTGCCAGCACCATTTGTTGAAGATGCTGTCCTTGCCCCATTGTATAATATTAGCTGTTTTGTCGAAAATCAGGTGTTCATAGGTGTGTGGGTTAATATCAGGATTTTTCAATTCGATTCCATAGGTCTACCTGTCTATTTTTATGCCAATACCAGGCTGTTTTCAGAACTATAGCTCTGTAGCAGAGCTTAACGTCAGGAATGGTGATGCCTCTGAAGTTCTTTTATTGTATAGTGTTGTTTTGGCTATCCTGGGTCTTTTTTTTTTCCATATAAAGTTGGTTATTATCCTTTCAAGGTCAGTGAAGAATTGTGGTGGGATTTTAATGGGGATTGCATTGAATCTGTAGATTGCTTTTGGCAAGATTGCGATGTTTACTATGTTTATCCTACCTATCCAAGAGCATGAGAGATCTTTCCTTTTTCTTTCTTTAGAGCCACAAAGTACTTATTATATAGGTCTTTTACTTCTTTGGTAAGCATTACACCAAGATACTTTATGACAGAAAAGACGATTTCTTTTTCTGTCTCTTTGTCGTCTGAAAAAAGTAGGGCTACTGATTTTTTTGAGTTTATCTTGTATCCTGCTAGTTTGCTGAAGGTGTTTATCAGCTGTAGGAGTTCCCTGGTAGAGTGTATTGGGTCGCTTATGTAAACTATCATATCATCTGCAAATAGAGACAGTTTTACTTCTTCCTTTCCAATTTGGATCCCCTTGATCTCCTTTTGTTGTCTCATAGCATTAGCTACAACTTCTAGTACGGGGTGAGTTCACTTCTCTCCGTTCTATGCCCACAATATGTAGGATTCTTAATTCTTAAGGGTTGGCATTTGTTTGAAACAAACTGTTAGACATATAGAAGGGGAAATGTTTCTTTAAGAGTTTTAGAACAGAGAAAACTTTCATTTTGAGTAGAAAATACTCTTGTGAACTGTAATTTTTGGCTATATTCCATAGAACATAGCCAAATTCAGTAGACATTGAATTAGGTTATTTTCCATGTCTGTAGCTTGCACACACTGTTTTACAATTTTGTGGACTTTTCAGGTTTTGGACAGAGTTTAGGAATTTCAGAGCACCCATAGAAGTCTAAAATGTGCAGCCATTTTAGCTGTGTGGAAAGCAGGAAGAAGCCAAGGAAACATGTTGAGTTTTTCTGCCTGAGGGAGAGTTAGTTACTCAAAGCCATTCAATTTCTATTCATCTTTCTTCTGTATGTTTGCACCCTTTTCATCCATAAATCATAATTTTGTTTTAGAGGTTTGCATGCATGAGCATAGCATTTATATAATTTTCACATTTCCTTCTTGTCCTTGTAACTCTTCTCATGTCATTCTCCAATTTGTCATAAATTCATGAATGCTTCTTTAATTATTGCTGTGCATATATTCATATTGACAATTTTTCTAAGTCCACTTAGTATTACAAATATGCTTTGGTGAATAACATATGAATGGATACCCTATTAGGGATGTCACCGCTGCTGAATACTGATTCAAACTCTCTCAGAATCCATTAATTGCCCACAGCAGAATGGAAATATTAGGTTATCTTCTAGAGTCTATTATGCCTAGTGCCATGGGTAACTGTCTAAGTTTACAGTACCAACCATGGTTTCCCTTGCACTGGGTCCAGTTAGAAAACCACTGGTTATTTTCCAGGTGGAAGTGCACTATTGGGGTTTTCTTGCCAGGCTGTTCATTCTTATGGTTCATAATCTTTATAGTTGTGCAGCAGTATTGATTGTTTTTCTCTTTTGCAGCTTGAATGGGACCTTCAGATATTATGAAAGAACTGAATCAAGATAGAGAAATGGGCACATTGGTTAAGGCAATAGGTATGGAGGAGTATAGTTACCTGTGCTCCTTGCCATACTGATGATGTCATTATGAGCAACACATGCCAGACATGTAGCTACAAAAGTTGCATTTTAACCTTGGAATATTCCTACATTGGCATCACTAAAATTCAAATTATATTCTTTACATAAACAAAAGGTGATCAATATTAAAATTCTTATGGAAATACGAAAGGATAGAAGATGGTTTAGTGCACAATGTGCTCGACACATAAACTTGAGGACTTGAGATATGATCCCCAGAAGCTGGGCAGGCATAGTAGACATATGTAATCCTCAGGGTATGTGGGCTATTTAGCTACACTAGCTGATTGTTGAGCTCTGGATTCAAGAGACCTTGTTACATTAAGCAAAACGTAACCCCCCTCCACAAACCCACCACTACTTTCTTGACTTCTATGGGTATCACAAAGGAAATGGATACATTTCTGATGATTCAAAGCTAACATTTACAAATGAGATCATACCTTTTTTTGGCTGGGTCTGCCTTCCTTTGCTCAGAATGGTTTTACTCATAGCCATGGCCTTTGATAGATATGTGGCCATATGTAAGCCTCTCCATTATTTGACCATTATGAGCCGAAAGATGTGCATCTTGTTTTCAGTAGCTTCTTGGGTTGTTGGCCTTATTCATTCTCTGGTTCAGCTGGCTTTTGTTGTAAACTTACCTTTCTGTGGACCACATGTATTGGATAGCTTCTACTGTGGCTTTCCCCAGTTCATTAAACTTGCCTGCATAGATACATACAGACTGGAATTACTGGTCTCAATCAATAGTGGATTCATGTCTGTGGGCTCCTTCTTCGTACTGATCATTTCTTATATTGTCATCATATTTACTGTTCAGAAACACTCTGCAAGTGGTTCCTCCAAGGCTCTGTCTACACTTTCAGCTCATGTGACTGTGGTGGTCTTATTCTTTGGTCCTATGATGTTCATCTATACATGGCCTTCTTCATTCATACACTTGGATAAGTTTCTGTCTACATTTGATGCAATTGTTACTCCTTTTTTTGAATCCAGTGATCTATACATTCAAAAATCAAGAAATGAAAATGGCAATGATGAGAGTATTTAACCAGATAATGGGTATAGACAATTTATTAAACATTTGCATTCTGGCCACTTTTAATTTTGTATAGACATTCATTGTTAACCAATTTTTGAAAAAAATATTTCCTTGCTTATGTTGATATGTTTACTTACATTCATATATGGGCTGAGCACAGAAGTTCATTGTTAATCAATTTCTAAGGATAATATTTCTTTCCTATTTTGATATGCTGATTTAAAAACATATATGCTATTTTGGTTTATACTTAGAATAAGGGGCAATAGTCAGGGAAGCACAAATTAAATATATTTATATCTCAAAATATAATAAAGTTCAATTCCCAAGTAATAATATTTACATGATGCAAACTCAGACTGAAAGAAAACAGATGTTTATTTTAAGGTCTTCAGATCCGGAAAAACTCTCTCTCCTTTAAAAGTATTTATTTGTATTTCAAGTTTATGTTTGTATGTGTGTATCTTTACTCATGTATGTGCAGGTCCCTCTGGATTCAAGGAGAGGGCATTGATATGCTGATGGTGGAGTTATAAGTTCTTTTGAACCAACCACCTGAATTATGTGCTGGGAACCAATCTTGGGTCCTCTGAAAGAGTAGTGTATACCCTTAAAAGACGAGCCACCTCTATAGACTATGTCGGTTTTGAATGGAACTGTTTGTGATAAGCAAAGACTTCCTGTTACATTCCACAGAACATTTTATACAAGAGTTATTGAAGTGGGTAACTTTTCC